AAGGGCCTCGGTGACCTGGTCGGCGTGCAGCGGGGCGCCAGTCAGCGGCTCCGTCTGCTGTGCGTCCATCCAGTCCTGCAGCAAGAGAGGGGCCAGGGAAAGCGCAGGATGCTTCCTCCTCCTCATCCTCTCCCTTTTCCTCCTCCTCCTTCTCCTCATCCTCCTCCTTCTCCTCCTCCTCCTCCTCCTCCTCCTCCTCCTCCTCCTCCTCCTCGTCCTCCTCCTCCCCCTCCTTATCCTTTTATCCTTCTCTCCCTCTTCCTCCTCCTCCTCGTCTTTCCCCTCCTTCTGCTGCGTTTCCTTGCAAGCAAACACAACGCCTCCACATCGCAGCCCCAGACGTTTAGGTACGGTGGGCTAGGGGTTTTGCATAATACGTCCTCACCACACATACATCTTCACCACGCAGGATATGGTGTTGATTGAACAGTGCAGGTGGATCGTTTTCAACATGAAACTCTTGTCTTCGCGCCACGGACATTCGTCTTAGATGCTGCGCCAAATACAAGGACTCATCACATGTGGTTTTCAAGTTGGTTGCTCGCTTTGGCGCCGCACACATTCGTCTTGAAAGACTGCAACAGATTCAAGGACGGAGGGCGGCTCCTTTTCAAAATGTGGCTCTCGCTTCAGCGCCGAGCACATTCGCTTCTAAGTTTGGCAAAGCTTCGAGGATCGAGGCTGTCAATCTCAGAATGTTATAATCGCCTTAGAGCCGCGCACGTTCGTTTGAAAAGTTCGCGGCAGCTACACAAGATGGAGGGCGATGCCTGCTCTAAGTGAGTCTTTCGCTTCAAACTTCTTTGTTTGCAGAGACCAGAACCTCGACCACATGTCCGCCACCGTGTCCCGAGGCACGAAGTGGAGTCTTCACCAGGTCCTCAAGGGCTCCCTGTTCTCCAAATAGACTTGCCCTAGAGGAGTCCTAGCTGAAACCCTACTAATTGGTCCGTTGCCCCCCCTTAAGTCCTATGCCCCCCTAACTCCAACGGCTACGCCTATGCCTATGCCTCCCCCTTACTCCTATGCCTACGCCTATTCTTATGCCTTACAAAGCAAAGATCGACAGCAGCTGTACAAAGCAAAGATCGACACCATCCAGTGGGACCTTCCCGGGGAGACCCCCGGCGATGCCATCAGGCGACTCCAAGTCACCCTGGGAACCATGTTCACAGGCACCTGGCACGCCTTCGCCAAGCAGCAGGCTGTGCCTGGCAGCAAAGGCGCGCTCGACCCACTTCGGCACGACCCGCAAACCTGCCTCCGCTTCCTGGAGTCCTTCCGCAGCCACAAGTGCGACGTACGGGCCGTTAGCGACGCACTGGGCCTTGGCGTCGACTGGGCTCGGCTGCGGCATCGGCACCCGGGTCGAAGCGGCGGCCAGGGCAGGGATCACCACGCGGCAAAGGGACACGCGGACACCCACGCTCCCAAGAAGGGCAAAAAACAATGGCTGGTCGTCTCCCCACAATAGCCGTTGCGGCCCCACGTCGTGGCACCGCACTGGCTGTGAAGGGTCCCGGCGGCTCCTGTCCAGCAGCCACATCCCTGGGTGCCCGTCCCGTCGCCCCCCTCCGTCCTCACTCTGCCCAGTGCGGCGGCGAGCCCCACCCACCCTGAGCGGCGGTTGTACGCGACCCTGGGTCCACGCGGGGGGCAGCTGAGACTACGGGCACGGCACCTCCTCTCCATTCTTCAGCAGCGGCCAGCGGCTCCTTGGAGGCACCACCACATCCCCCCCACGGGGGCGTCGGCTTCGATGCGGCAGCACCGCCCCCAGCGCGTCAGTCCACTGGCGGCACACACACACCCCCACACTTCAGCAGCGGTCAGCGGCGTCCCCGGGTGTACCACCACACACACCCACGGATGCGTCGGCCTTCGAGGTGACAGCACCGCCCTCATTGAGTCAGTCCACTGGCTGCAGATTGCCCTCCCTGAGTCACACCAGCTGTGGACGAATGACCGACCGTTCGGTGTCACCTTCCTCTCAGCGGAGGTCAGCTGCGACCCTGGATGCACGCGGGGAGCAGCAAGGACTACGGGCCCAGGGCCCCCGCGGGAGGCCAAGGTACTCTGGCATCCCGGCGCTGTCCGCCAGGGGCCGGCATCCCGGCGCACGCTCCGGCTTCACTCAACCCAGGGCGGCTGTCGCTCTGGATCCAAGCGGGCATTGCAGAGGCTTCGAGCACGTGACATCCCGCGGGAGCTCAAGGGGCCCCACGCGGGGAGTAGCAGAGACTACGAGCACGAGGCATCCCACGGGGGCTCAGGTTACTCTTGCATCCCGGTACAAAATGAAAGAGAGATCATAGCGGCAATCAGCGGCGACCCCCGAGTTGGTCACTCTACAGGCTCACAAACATCAGCGGCCGTTAGCGGCGACCCTGGAGGACCACGGCGCGACCCTGTATGCACGCGGGGGCGGCCGAGGCCACGGGCCCGGGGCCTTCCTCGGGGGCTCGAAGTACTCTTGCATCCCGGTGCTGGCGGCCAAGGG